TGTATGGGACCCTTAACACATACTATGATAAATGCTGTACGGCATGATGTATAGTGTATGGGGCCCTTAAAATTGATAGATGAGTTGCAAATGAAAAAGGATTGCCATCATCAAATTCTCAAATGAGACTACCTTCTGTAATTATGACATGGGCCGTATTATCGATTCAAGGTCCATGCATTTCATGTATTTTTCTGAATTTTATGTTGTTTTATAATTGTTGAAAAGCTTTCCTATAGCTTATACAAAATCGCACTTTATAATGTTAAATATACATAATATATTAGTTAATATATAATATAAAGATGTTTTTTGTGCAAAAACTCACCTTAACGGCCACTGCATTACCTCATTTCCACAATGAGTTGATGATTGTCAAAAAAAAGAACAACGAAAGGAATAGCTTCTCTCTTATCTAGGATTTTAAAATTAGACATTATCATTGGTTGCCAGAACAAGGAACACTTTTTTCGAAATAATTATGAAACTTCATTCATCATTATTATTATTATTTTAACTATAATTATATTTTCATGTACACTCTTTTTTTATTATTTATAGGAAAATTATTAATTACATTTTAATATTATCAACAAAAAGGCTATACGATACACCGGCTGCCATTAAAATATACTAAAACACCTCTTCTCTTGCTCTCTCTGTCTCATTTAAAACACACACACACAAAATTGGCGCGATATGAACCCAACATGTTTCCCCACAAATTACACAGGGAAAAACACCTTCATTTCTTTAACACATTATTTCTAATTATTGGACTTATTATAATTCACAATTTTCACTGTATTTTTTTTAGCAGAATAACACTTTAAATTTAATAAATAATCGAAAAAATATTGCAATGAACCGAACGCGTCCTTAACAGGGCTGCCATATTTGCCGATTTATCGGCATTTTGACGATTTTTCACTCTAAAAATGGAAAATGCCGATTTTCCGATTTTTGCCTCAGAATTGCCGATATTTCAACAATCGACAAAAATTGTCTAACTTTTTAATTTAATACGGCGTTACCATACAAACATATAAAATTGGCAGCTTTAAATCATTATAAATATCGGCGACTCGCCGCAGCCGTTTTCAATGGCTTAGATATCTGCATTTTTTGTCAGCATTGTACTCTGTCTAGTTTACATTTTACATCGAATAAGGCAAAATTAAAAATAAACGAATAAAAAGTGCGCACACGAAAGAAAGATCTCACTAGTGTACATAATAATTACTATATTAAAAAATCTAAATTTTTTGTAGAAAAATGAATATTTTATGTTATTTTTTTATACAGAATTGAATTTTTTTAATGTAATAAACAATATTGATTTGTTATAAACCAAAAAATATGAATTTATTTATAAATTATATGCTGCCGATTTTTTGCCGATTTTTAAAAATACAAATGCCGATTATGCCGATTATGCCGATTTTTTTCTGAAAAATTGACGATTTTTCATGAAATTTAACTGGCAGCACTGGTCCTTAACAAAATATGTCAACTGAAGGAGAAAACAAATGAGAGCAAGAGTGATGCCAATACGCCAAACAAAAAAAAACTACAAAATCGCCTAAAATACCAATTGGAAAGTGACATTCCTATCTCACACTCTTATTAGCCCATGTCTCTTTCCCTCTCTTTTTATATGAATGTATTTGCAATATTTTTAGCGGAAATAGAACACATGTGGTTTTTTTAACATAATACAACTGGAAAAAACTCTTATTTTACAAATATCTTATTACGATTTATTTTAATTACTATAATTCACAACTTTATCGATTTTGTTAAGTTAGGATAATTTTTCAAATTGAATAAATTCACGATGAGACATTGCAATGAACCGAACACGCCGTTAATACAAATGACAACTGAAGAAAAAACTAAATAGGAGTGCATCTTTTCCACGATACTTTATTTAAGTTCATCTGTTTCGAAATTTTGTTTACTCCCCGATGGAATACAAATTTGTTTAATTAATTTGTATTAAAGTAGATTAAATTAACAATTATGTAAAATAGTGCCTTTGTGCCAATAGTCGGCACATTTTTCCAATTATCGGCATGTAATGTTCCAATAGTCGGCATGTCGCATTTTAGTTAAACATAAAATATATATTTAATCGATTTTTCTGCTATTTGCAATAATAAATTATTGCTTTGGGGCGTTTCCATTAGTGCCGTATTAAAATATTTATATAAAATAATTTTATTTATTAAAATATTACAATTATAAAACATGGTGCCGACTTCGGGAACCTTTTATCCAATTGTCGGCATGGCCAAATAAGGCATTTCAGAGATAAAATAATTGAAGATTAAAACAAGTCTTCCATTATGTAAAACCACTCAAAACTGATTTTTTATAAGTTAATCGTTATTTAGAGCATTTATCATTTTGTTTTGCAATTTTGAGCCAAAACGATCAAGAAGGTGCTTATTATTCACCCATAAACCTTAAAAATGTTTGTTCCTAAGGGCGGCATCGATAAAAATATAATAATCTTCTATATATCTACATATGTATATTATATATTATATATGTATATAAAAATGAATTGCTGTTCGTTAGTCTCGCTAAAACTCGAGAACGGCTGAACGGATTTTTCTTATCTTAGTCTTGAAATGTTCGTAAAGCTTCAGAGAAGGTTTAAAAGGTGAGAAAAATTTAAAAATCGCGAAAAAATTGCAAAAATGTTATGAGGCATATTTGCATTTCTACGAATTTAGTATCGATCTATCTTGGTTGCACCACGTCGAAGTTGTTATTTCGAGATATTTTAGGCGAAAATTGGTAGCGTATCATTCCTTTAAGCCTTCATTTGTCAATTATTGAAAATTTTGAAAATATTTTTTTTTTTCAATTGGATTGACATTGTATTAAAAAAATGTTTGTGAGAATTCAAAAAATAATGGAGAAGTATCATTGAATTTACACGTTTTCCATAGAATGTCCGTACATTTGCGACAAAGGCAAGGATGAAAATCAGAAGACATCCGGAATAGAGTCCTAAGTCATTTTCTTAAAGTAATACAAATAGTTCCATAGGGACATTTTATTCCTTAAACTACCTAAAATATATGTGTATATATATATTAATTTTTGGACGGACGATTTGACACCACATGGGAGATATGGGGCAATATTGATAATTTTTGGTAAAGAGGTTTTGATCATCCAAAATAAAACATTACAGTCACTTTGGTTGGAACACTGGAACAAACTCCCCAAAATATCGAATATTTTCAGTAACGTTATATGGGAGGTACCTCAAAGAGTGGACCAATATAGATAATTTTAGTAGTACCAAATAACAACCAAATGCCAAATTACAGCCGATTAGATTTAAAATCTGTCCAAATCCTCCACAGCATCAAAAAGTTTGGGGTACTGTTAGATGCGGGATATTTGGAAGCTTGGGCGAACATAAAATTACAGCCAAATTCCGAATATTAAGAGATATTGTTATATGGGAGTTATCCGAATACTATTATTAATTAGGGAGATTTTCTGCTCAATAAGTATTCCAAATATTAAATTAGAAGAACTTCTGTTGAAGTTGCATTTTAAATCGTGGAGGTTACAAAAAACTAGCTTTATATTGCGCTACCGTTATATGGAAGACCTATACAAATATTGGGAAAAATTGAATTATATCCGAAGGTCTAACTTATATGTGCATTTAAATTTATTTTCCACGAATTCAATAATTCTTAACCTTATATCCACCGAAACTTTAGATGACAAATATTTCTAGGCAAGACAACGTTTGCCGGGCCCGCTAGTTACCAATATTTTTTTAATGATTTTAAATTCTAAAGTATTCTCCTCTATGTTCTTTACAATTACAAAGAAGATCCTTGTTAAAAATATATAATTTTAATATAGTTACAAGTCTTTTGAAATCGACATACCCACTAATTTTTTCTTTATCGCTAGTGTTGATAAACCACATTGACCAAATGCCAAATTTTGACTGAAAAAATGTACTTAGCTCGATGAAATTTTACACAGAGATAGGTTGCAGTATTATTAAAGATTGTTCTAGCTATTTTTCATATCTGGATATAGGATTTTTTAGTTATCTGAAGTTATATAAAACAGATGACGACTATTGGTACATGCCGGAATTAGGTGCGTTTACCCCATATTTATGTCAATGAAATAACGATTTCCTAAAACATGTTCGGTGTAAATCAAGTTTTATCGAAGACTTAAAAAATAGTCTTTAAAAAATCTACGGCTTTCGAAGTCTTCAAAAAATATTCACTACAAAATTCAATTATTTTTGCAGTTCTTGAATAAATAATTTAAAAAAGTGTATGCGGTTGTAGAAATATAGAAATATTGTTTAAAAAATTCGGGGTTTTTGCAGTTTTAAAAAAAATCTGCGCATAAAGTGGAACAGACAAAATTATTTTAGGCTTGATGTCAAATTATAAAGGAATATCAGAGTCCTATTATAGTCTACAAGCAAATTAAAAATCCAACCGAAATTCGTTTATGCTGTCTTCCATTTTTTATTACACCATGAATATGCTTGTGTTATTATTCGAGCTGAATAGAATATTAAAACTGGTCATTGAATTCTAAATCATGTGTGGATTGTTATTTTTTCTTAAAATAAGCAATAAACAAAATCATCAATATCGCTAATATTTCATTCGAATACCTTCTTTACAATTGATTACCTCTTATTAATTATCGAAAATTTTGTTTGGTATTTTAATTAAAAAAGAAACAAATCACATTGCACGTGTATGGCATATAACATTTATATTTGCCAATTTCCATAGAATATAATAAAAATGTCAAAATATTGAGTTCAATACACGAATTGATTTTGTTTGCCAAATTTTTAAACATTTTATATACAAGAAGCGCAATTACTTCTAGTTTTAATAATGCATTTATTTTCTTTGTCTACAATCTATATGGTATTTGATTGGCTTTAAACATTTAGAGGAAACAGAGGCATTGATCTATATATGAGTACACATGATATAAGTGCAACAGTACGTATTGTTGTCTACAAGAGTAATTGAATTGCAGGTTTTTTATTAGATTCCAGTATGACTATAAAATTGTTCTGACGTATTTGAAAGTTTATTTCGAATATACATATATTCCAGTACAATCGTATCAGTCTTATTCGTGTAGGTTCTGAAGCAGGGTTTGTTGTTGAGACAAAATTCAAATAATATTTTTAGAACTCACAACAAATATAATGGAATATAATGCATATGTTTTTTCATAAATATGATCAAACGTGATTCATAGTTTATTTCCAGAAAATACGTTCAATATCTTATATGTTAACATAAATATAGTTTTTAATAGTTTATATAAAAATGTCAGAACCGTGAATGACACAATTCTTCAAGGTAGGGTATCTTAAGATGAATAACAACAGTGCAACTCTGCAGGAAGGGGCTTCTTCAATCAGATATAAAAACAAGTTGTGGAGTTTTTTAACATTCTAACCCATAACTAAAAATGCGAAAAACGATTTTTTTTGATTTTTCCCCAAAATTGAGTAGCGTATACCTTTCAATGTTTGTTTCATCTATAACTATAATAGCTTCTGCACGAATGCTGCAAAAAAAATATTTACAGCCTGTTTTTGTACAATTCCAAACGAACGAATACGAGTGACTTACGACCAAACCTTTATTTATGTTTATAAAGTTTTTCTGATTCAAAACAAAAATAAATGACATATTTTTCAAAACCAAGGAGTTTGGTCGTAAGTCACTCGAATTCGTTCGTTTGGAATTTTACAAAAACAGGCTGTTACTTTTCAATTGAACTTGAATTTTTTAGTGGTTATTATACAGCACATGCACAATCTTTGTTTTGATTTGATAGAATAAGCCACCTTGGTACAATAATAAAAGGTAGGATAACTTGAGGTGAATAACAAAAAAAAAAACCTATATATCCTTCAATTTGCGTGAAATTCGGCTTAATGTACTGAATTAAGTCTAGAATGATGTTTGTTAAATTTCTTGAAAATCGGTTCTGATTTAGATATAGCTTCTATAGCTGACCAAATGAAAAATTTGGTATCGGTTGCATTTTACTGGTCCATTAAAAATGTGACGTCTGTTAGGATTAATCTGTTGAATATATCCAAAGTTGTGAAGGGTATCACTCCATGGTACAATAATACAAGGTAGGGCAGCTTGAGGTGAATAACAAAAAATCAACTATGCACATATGGCTTCTTCTGCCAAAAATTAAATAAATATTCGCAACAAGTGTTTGTGTTTATTTGACATGTTTTCAACACAAAACTAAAAACGCGAAAAATGAATGAAAGGTTATGATTTCTTCCCAAAATCCATTAGGGAATACCATAAAATGTTTGTTTCATCCATAACAAAGTAATTACATCCAGACGAACGTGTTAAAAACATCATTTTCATTTCAATAAATTTTGAATATATACCAATTTATTTTGAATTTATTTGACATAGTATTCAAAACAATACACATACGTACACAAAATATGTATTTTGATTTGATGGAACAAGCCACCTTGAGAAAAAATTGTAATCAGTTATTAGCTGTGCCCTACCTTGTAATAATTGTACCATGGTCGGCCCCGTCCGATTTTACTACTTTCCCTACAGGTTTCATTTCATTAAAATTTGAAAACACTTCAAATAAATATGCATTTTTCTGGTATTCAGCTTGAGAAAAAATTGTAATCAGTTGGTAACTATGCCCTTCCTTACAAGAATTATACCAAGGTTCAGACTATAATTTGGCCTACTTAAAACAATTCTTATCAGATATTCTGGTTAAAATATCATCTTAAACGACATATACATTAGAACTGTTTACCGGGTTAACCTACTTTATGAGGATTTATTTGACAATATGCAAAGGAATTCACAATTGAAAACCACTGGGTTAACGAAATCCGGTTAAATGTAAACGTACTATTACTACCACAAAGTTTGTTTACGTATTCATACTATTATTTTGTGGTCTTGACCATAAAAAATTTAAATAAATTCAATATCTGGAATTGCTTGACAATGTATGCCAAATCGTGGTCATTTCAAATGCATCCTTTTTTTGCACCACAAAATTCATCAATTCTGCTAAAAGTACCTTCAAAATTAGTTAGATTTCAAAATAGTTGATAAACAAAAATATAACAGCATAATAATTCATTTACACACTGACTTGTGTATCAAACGACGTGAATACTAAATTCGTTTATAAATTTAAATGACTATACGGGAACTAGCTGAATGTTAGTACAAGAAAAAGTTTTTCTCGTCCATTTTAAAGAATCAGTAAAATTTGATTCAACAGCTGATCCCAAATTGCCATTATGTTTCACACTAATTCGTAAACATAGCCACTATCATCTGTCTCTTCCAAGGTATATTTAATAAGGTAGCCGCATCGGCCCAGCTGTTGGTGCAAATAAATGTCAAAAATGTTGTTGTAATGTTGAACCAAAAAATTAAAAAACTAAATTATAAATGAAAATCTACGAATTTCGAAGAGCTTGTTTGGCAATACTTTTATTAACATTTTCTACATGAATTTGTGTAAAAAATCTTGTCAATCTGTTTGTTTTGACAAAATATTCTTGACATATCAAAATACAACAACCTATGTTTGTTGTAGAAATTCGCCGATGCGGCTACCTTGTATATCTACCTTGGTCTCTTCTATTCGTATGTTGCAATAGTTCCCATAGTTCATTTCACAGAATCATTCATTTGAACTAGTCCGTTCCTGAACGACACAACGCTTGTTTTGCAAAAGATTCTTCAAATAAAATCTATTAAAATTCTACTTTTTTCAAGTTGATATAAAATTAAATTATTTAATCATTAATTTCTAACATATTACCACAAGTTTTATTGTTTTTAATATCAAATATACAGAGTGAAACGAAATTTGGCAAGTTTCGGTGAAGGACACCTTGGAATCTCTACAATCGAATATTGCATTGCATGATGACCAGTTACTCTACAAACAACGAAGGTCCGTTGTATATTTTTTATAAAAAATGAACATTTTAAAGTTTCTTCTTGCTTGCGACAGGTACATTTATACCGGCCTCACAACGGCCGGATGGTACATGGCGTCGTGCCAGACGCGTTAAAGACGGTTATGTACCGCAGGAAGAAGTCCCTCTGTACGAAAGCAAAGGTCGACAATTTGCCCAACGGAAAGCAAATACATTACCCCCTGGTCTGTGCCCCGAAGTGGTAGAAGCTGCTCGCAGAGAACGAGAGAAGAAGGAAAAGGCTAAGGCCAAAAAAGAGGCCGCGGCAGCAGCAGCTACCAAGAAACAACCAATACCAGGCGTTTTAAAATTACCTGCCAATACAATTACGGAAACCAAGAAACCCATTGCGAATGGCCAGAAAGCGAAAACACCCGCTGCTACAGGCGCTGCGCCGTCCAAATCGAATGATCTCAAAGCTGTTGAAAATCTAAGCGAAAATTTAGCAAACAATTTAAAGGTCGAGGATGAAGCACAAGACCTGCAAAAGAAATGCAAAAAATTGCAAAAGAAGTTAAGAGAAATTGATGAAATTGAAAAGAAACTTAAAAGTGGCGCCCTTAAGAAACCCGAAAAAGACCAGCTGGATAAGGTGGCAAGAAAAGGAGCTATAGAAAAGGAACTGCAACAGGTTCTGGCACAGATGAACAGTGAAAGTTAAGTTAAGGTACTACAGCATAGAAGATAGCACAAGGAAAAAAATGAATGATCAAGGTAACACGAATGACCAATTGTTGATTTAGAGATAACGGGTTAGAGGCAAAATAAAGGCTTTTTTAATGATGTAGCAGATTGGAATAAGTTCGAATTGAGGAAAAGTAAATATGTATGAAATTAATTTGAAATGATAGGTATAATTTGGATATTGTGTAATGAAACTGGGATGCAAAAAGGCAGCTTATGTGATCACGAGATTTTAAATTTGGATTTGGAACTGAAATTATCATGCAAGAGAAGTCTGGTAAAAACAAGGCAAGGCCACAGAACATTCTCGTAATTGCTAAAAGTAGCAATTGAGAATTGGATTACGTGGAGATAGGCACGAGGTCAATTTAAAATATATAGAATACAGTTCAATATTTGTAATATTCTTCTGCTGAATGGCAGTTCTTTGGATGGGAATTATCTTTTACAGAATCAAAATCTCTTTAAAATTAAAATAATTGAGATGAATGCAATGTCAAAGAGAGAACATCTGAAAATCATGTCTCCGAAAGTAAAAAAAATTGAAATATATTGCATTTTTACTTAGATTGAATTAGAATTGTTTTTATGAATTCTAAATTATGTAAAAATACCAGATTTTTAATGTGCAATAATAAATTACATTACATTTTTACAACTCGCTGTTTAGTGGTTTGGCAAGACATATGCATAGATTTGAGGGAAATTCTATCCTGATTTTACTAGAGCGTCTAGCCGTGTTTGATAAATCTCGATTATGCCCGGTTTCGTACGAATTTTTTCTTTTTCTATAAACATCTAAAGACAACAAAACAGAAAGTGTCATTTAACCTTACAAATTCTTCTGATATTCGAAATATAAAAATCAAAACTGCAATTTTTTTAAAAATTAGTTTCAATCTGTCTGATGAAATTCATTGATTTCGACAATTTACTGTTGTTCTTATTAACATTAAGCAATTTTGATTGTCGCATTTGTATAGTTTATTGCGGAGAACCCTATCTCCTCACATAACCACTAAGAGTTACTGATAGTCAAATTCGATAATGTAAATCTGGATTAAGTTTATGCAGCCGTCGGTATTGGTTAGTTTTAGGCTTAGACTGACACATTATTACCTTTCCATACAAACACACAAAAATTAAAATATCAATAAATATTATAAATCTACCACAAGAATACTTTATTAACAGTTTTAGCCAAAATTAACATCATTTAAAATCATATCATTCGTTATCCGAAACTAAATTTCCTTGTGATTTCTTTTTGTAAATTACCTCTTGCTGAGCATCTTGTATAAGAACGAATAAGAAAATCCAATCGTTATGTTTATCTTTTTGGTTCCTTTTTTAATTTTTAATTACTTTTACTTTTAAAATTATGAGTCAATTTGTAGTCTTTCACTTCTTTGAGAGTTGTTCGTTAAACGACTATCATTTTTTAAATAAAGTAAATGTGTCCATCTTTCCATTATTGCATTTTGTAAACTGCCCTTATCTTTTGTACAATTATATTCAATTCTCAAATTAAGAAAAAATTAAAACTATTTTTTTTTTTGTAATTTTTTATAAAAATAAAAAATATTATTTTTTATAAATTAAATTGAGTCAAATTACAAATCACTTAACAATTATTTGTATGTATATGTTTCCCTTTTTTTAAATATTTATAAAGTGTAGAATTAAGACAAAGAAAACAAATAATAAAGAAAAGATACTTAATAAAAACATTTTAAAATCAAAAATAATTTTCTTTGCAATCTCAAATTATGTACATTTATATAAACGAGTCGAATAAAAGAACTATAAAGGAATTGGTGAAATATATTACTAAGGTATGAACTAGAAAAAAAAAAAAACAAAATGATTCTAATAATATAAGAACAATTAATTGTCGTTCCGTATTTAATTATGTTGGTCTAATATATGCATCCTTACATAGCGACACACAGTGAAAACTGCACAGTTTGTGTAAGGCCGTAAGTGCAAGGCCGTTTGTGCAAGGCCGTAATAACAGATCTACTCACCTCTAAGATTTGTGGGGCAATCGTGAAGGCATCCAAGGCTTCAATCGAATCGAAAATAAAAATGCACACAACTATATTTTATTAGGGTTTTTTGTTGAACTCTTTATTAAGTATTGCCAAAATAAATATTGATATTGTAAAATTGATTTTGAAACACATCATGAAGTGTGGTATATATTGAGATTTGTTTGTTGTTAATTCTTTTGTTCTTAACAATGAAATACAATTCTTCTAATACTTATAACTAAAACTACATGAGATAAACCTACATACATACATATAAAAATAAGTATATCATATTTTATTAAACATTTAACAAAACTGACAAAACATACAATATATAAGTAAAAATGACAATTATTTTTATGTGTGGGTGTGTGTGTTACAAGGATATGTTTATAAATATTAATAATAATAAATACTTTGGGGTTTCATGTTGTAACAGTTTCTTTTTACAGTGAAATCAAAATTTCCAATACAGATTGTAAACGAAAGAAACTGTTTAAATACTTTTTTGTAAGATATTATTTGTTTTTTTTTTTTTTTTTTTGAATTGAGATTTATTATTTGCAATATGCCTTCTTTTTATATTGTGTGCTGGATTATTTTGGTGTAGGTGTGTATTGTCCTTCAATAGCCATGAAAACGAGCATTCCGCTTGCGTCCCATATTACAGATTTTAAAATGACACGGTGACATATCTACAAAAAAAAAAAAAAAAAAAAAAAAAATGAAGAAGAAACAATAAATAAATTAGTTTTGAGACTATATTTTATGAAAACAATTAAATCTATATAAAAGTGTAATATATGCCTATCAAACTATTTTTTAAATAATAATATAAGATTATTGAGGCATGCAGATTTTATATATTTTTTCAAGGACTATTAAGGCGTGGATTTTTTAAATAATACTTTTTTCAAGGACTATTAAGGCGTGGATTTTTTCAAGGACTATTAAGGCGCGGATTTTTTTCAAGGACTATTAAGGCGTGGATTTTTTTCAAGGACTAATAAGGCGTGGCTTTTTTCAAGGACTATTAAGGCGTGGATTTTTTTCAAGGACTATTAAGGCGTGGATTTTTTTCAAGGATTATTAAGGCGTGGATTTTTTTCAAGGACTATTAAGGCGTGGCTTTTTTGTAATCTAGTTTTCAAGCACTATTAAAGCGTGACTTTTTTGTAATAATCTATTTTTCAAGGACTATTAAGGCGTGGATTTTTTTCAAGGACTATTAAGGCGTGCTTTTTTGTAATAATATTTTTGTGGATTTTTTGTAATAATATTTTTGTGGAGGAGGACTTTAAAGAAGTGGATTTTTGTAATAATATTTATTCATGGACTATAAAGACGTGGTTTTTTTTGTAATAAAATTTTTCCAAGGACTTTTAAGACGTGGACTATTGTAATAATATGTTTTCAAGGACTTTTAAGACGTGGATTTTTGTAATAATATTTTTTCAAGGACTATTAGGGCGTGGATTTTTTTAATAATATTTTTTTTAAAGAACTATTAAGGCGTGAATTTTTTTAAATAACATTTTTTCAAGGACTATAAAGAGACAGATTTTTATAAATAAAATTTTTTCAAGGACTATAAAGGGACAGATTTTTTAAATAAAATTTTTCAAAAACTATCAAAGAGTGGATTTTTTAAACATTTTTTTTTCATACAGTGTCTATTAAGGCATGGGTTTTTCAAATATTAAATGTCTGTTAATGCGTCGATTTTTCAAATACTATTTAAGTCATTTTTTAAAATATTCGGGCATGTTCTGGCATTCACTTCAACGGCAGAAGTGTATCGAACACACGCCGAGGTATTTTGTAACACACTTTGCACCCATTTGAGGTGTATTATTTACACTTACATTTTCATAGTGGGTGTATTCATGTTTTTCTATATAAAATAAAATCTTTTTTGAAATAAAGAAGGCACATGATGATAGATTAATATGTTATTATTGCGTATAATTTGTTTAAAATAATTGTTTTTTCGCAGGTCGAAAAAATTTCAGTTCACATACCCGATTACTTTTTTAAAATATGTTAAGACGTGGATTTTTAAATAATAATTTTTCAAATTCTATTAAGGCGTGAATTTAAAAAAAGTTTATTAAGTTTGTGGATTTTTAATATAGTGTACTTTACATCTATTTCTGTAAATAAAAAGAATATAGAACGTATAATTGTTATCACAATGTATACGCCTAGTTGGTCTATACACATTCTACTTTTGAAATACTGAATTGTTTGAAGACCTTGAAATTCCTATAAATATTTCTTATAAATAAATATGTATATAATTTAAAATTGACTAACTTACATTTTTTACGTACTAAATGTCCCATGCAGATACACACAGGTACAAATAAAAGATAACACAAAAGACACACACAGAAAAATATAAATAGAAATTAAATTATATTTTTTATATTTAAATAGAAATAACTTACATTGTACATTCTTTTTGGTATTGTGCTCTTTAAAGATAATCTGATTGGCCGGTGATTTGGGCGCTTTGGTCTTAATACTACCACCGCCAACACCACCGCCGTTAATGGTGGCAACATCGTCATTGTCTTGACGTATTTCATCATAATATTCATTGGATTGTGTATTGGCCAATTGTCGTAGACGTTCTAAAAATTCACTATTTTCCAATGTTGTTGTAATATCATCATCATAGTCTATGGTGAAGACAAGATCTCGCAATCCCGGCCATTTGGCCAAATAGTTCGATTGCTTAGTTTGAACTTTGTTCTGGAAAAGGAGAATAATAAAAATATTACTGATGGTTAAAATGTTGGTCAACATAAATAAAACATTAAAATTCTTGGCACAAATATTATTATTTATAAAAATTTTAAATAAGGGGGCGTATGAGTGTTGTCGTCAATTAATATCCCCAGTGCAGATAACCTTTTTAGTTTTCTATTTAAATTTAAATTATAACATTGATAAAAGTTTAAAATAGTATTTTTCAAAGTTATATGCAACAATTTGTTTAAAAAAGTTGGACTTAAGAGTGCTTCCATCAACAACTATAAAAGCTATAAACGTAATTTTTTATTAGTATCATTGGGTTTTTGAATGGCTATTGGACTTGATATTTTTAAAGAATATTTTTTTTACAATTTTTAGGCAGAGATTAAAGAACATTTTTTAACAAAAATAATAACATGCAAATTAGTTTGAATATTTTCATTATAGAAACTAAACGTTTGGATAACCCAAATAATGATTTTCCTATGACTGCCACTATTGAAATTTAATTTTTTTTCCCCTTGATTTAATTTGAACGTACATCCTAATGTATATAGATTTTATGTTATTATTGTTCTTGTCTACTTACCAATCCACGAAACATTTTTTCCCCACCACCACCACCATTATTTGAATTTCCCATCAACAGGTCGTCCAATAGTAATTGTGAGACATCGTTTTGTTTAGCCAACAATGCATCCAGATTTGGACGTGCCATTGCACCGGTAAACAACATTGTCCAGATGATAGATAACACACCGATCGTCATAGCAAATTGACATTTTCGACTAAGCATTGTTATCGATTGATGACGTCTCTGTTATAGTAAAATGTTGTATTTGATTTTCACTGTAAATTAATAAAGAAGAAAGGAAATAAAATATTATATGGTATAATTATAATAATGCTATAAACAGACAAAATACAAATTACATTCTTAATTATCGAATAATTTTAAAGATTTTTTAAATTCAAAAGTAAGGGTTTTTTTTATTTTTTTAATTCCCCATACTCGATTTTATTTTTTCTAGATTTTCAATGGGCTGGTAAATCAATACCAATGCTTGTTAAGGTTTGTAACTTTGCACATATATATTTGAAGATTTAAAAGAGAAGAAAAATAATTTACAAATTTTTTTTTATTGTTTTGTTGTTGTTTTTTGTAATTAAAGAAAAGTCCTTATTTTTGATGGTGGGCATGATAACTCCCCACTGGAACATCGGAATCCGAAAATTCCAACGGTGTTAGAAAGAGTACATGTCTGGCTCTCGTATGAACTAGGATTATTGACTTCGCTCTAAAATTAACAAAATGGTGGACCTTTGAAACAATATTTGTGGAAAATCGCCGATTTTTTACCAAACACCATGTTAAAAAATAAGGAAGATCTTCACCGATTGGCTTTATCCTAGTTCATACGATAGCTATACACTCACAGAGAAACGTGTAAAAATTTGAAATCGATTGGGTTATTAGTTTTTGAGTTATCGTGCCCGCCATTCACAAAAGAGAAAAACGCGTTTCAAGTTTGAGAAGCCCTTCAGCCGTCACCTGATGCTGACACAATAAATCGGCTATATCTTCAAGAGTTCTTGAGATTTTCACTTGAAATTTTGTAGGGACATTTATTAATTAGTGAAGATTCGAATTATATCAACAAAATGTTTGACCCCGAGAATGGGGGGGGTCCCCTTAAATAATTTTCGTAGATTTTTCTTAAATATTTTTCATATAGACTATTTTCCTAATTATTCTAATATTTTTTTTCAAAGACAATTATAAAATAGTTTTTTTAATATTATATAAATATAAAGATATTAAAATGTAGATTTTTTAAATATTTTTTTCGAATTAGATATTTTTTTTTAATGATTAGAGGGTCGTGGGTTTTCTAAATATTTTTTTACTATTAGAGATAATTTGTAAATCCTTTGTTTTAAAGTTTTGTAACAATTTCTAAGATTACCTAGATTTATAAAATATTTTTAACTACTATTTTTAATATTTTTCAATGACTATATTATAAAAAAATTTATCATTAATATATGTTATTATAGTTTTTATATATTTGTTCAAAGACTATTAGATATTATGGGGTATATTTTCCATAGGGTATATTTTTGTAATGTTTTTCAAAAACTATTAGAAAGTAGTTTTTTAATATTTGTTCGAAAGGGTTTTTTTCACAACTATGTTGTCAGGGTATTATAGCTTTGTGCAGCCCCAAGAGTTTCTAATGCCGCGAACTATTGGTCCTAGACCCACCTTTATGTATACCGATCGCCAAATCTCGACTAACTGCGTCGATCTAGGCATGTGTGTCCGTCCGTCCATTATAATTTGTAAACACGATACAGGCCACAGTTATGGACCAATCTTCACGAAGTTTTGCATGTAGGATGGGTTCTGCCCAATGAAGGCCCCTATTATTTTTGGTAAAGATCGGTTAATATTTAGGGGATGAAATATACCAAAAACTTTATTTTTGTCGGGTTTTCTGGAACATCGCGAAATTTTACATGTAGAAGGTGATCGGGCCAAAGAATAAGCATGCATGTTTTGATAAAGATCGGTCAATATTTAGCGTGTCAAATGGACTCTGACTTTTGTGTGAAATATGACAAAATTTGTAGTCTATGACGTATATATTTACTCCTGTAGGATATAGACCCGAGAATTTGATAGTATATGTAAAAGGAGTGGTTGACCTTTAAATTTATACCAATTATATTATCATATGTACTCGGATGTGGGAGTTACACGTAAATATTTACAGGTGTCTACGTAATCAGATATTATTTAGTAATCCATTACCACACCGGAGAGCGGAAATATAGCGATGATCGCTTTGAAATGTTCCATGGGGTTCCAGTTATGGTCAAGGACAACGGTGATGATCAGATAATAATTTTGGGATGAAATGGACTGAAATCTTAATTTTTTTCGAGTCGACCTATAGGCCACAATTATAAAACGAACATCACAACACAACCCACGATGAAGGAAATTTGGACAAGTAATTAGAAGGTCTGCACTGAATATTAGTAATATTCATAAAATGTATGTAGTCCAGGCTCGGAATAAACATCCGCAGAAAGTTAAAGTTCCGTGGTAGTTGTGTAGGGTATCATATGGTCGGCCCCGTCCGACTATACAGCTCCGCTCACTGGTTTTATATATTTTTTCAAACGAAGCTTTATTAACTATATTCTATTATTTTTTAAGACTATTAGAACGATGGACTTTTGATATTTTATCAAGTACTAAAGGAGCGATAGTTTTTAACATTTTTTTAAAAGGCCGTAAATTTTAGATTTTTAACTATTGTGTTTTTGCAAAATAGTCAGGCCGAATCCCAGTTTGTTGTTTTTATAAAATAATTGTTATTAGTGGGGAAAGTATGACATTGTTCGCGAGGGGTAAGGCATGGAAGACTATGGTTCCGGATGTCGCCACTGATCCTCATCAGTTCCATTAGTTTTTTTTTTCTCCCACAAACTATTTATTGATTCTTTACAAAAAACCTTTCATACCCAAATGTCTCTTGTAACAAAGCGAAGTACTTAGCTGACCAACAAATGCTTTGTTAACCTCGAAGTGAGGCACCAGCGAAATTCTCAGTTTATTCGTTGGTCAGCTAAGTACTTCGCTTTGTTACAAGAGACATTTGGGTATGAAAGGTTCTTTACAAAAGAAGCAATAAATAGCTTCTGGAGAGAATATCACAAAAAAGCTAAGGGAACTGATGAGGATCAGTGACGAGATCGGAAACTACAGTCTTCCCTGCCTTACCCCTCGGCGAACAATGCCATACATTCCCCTCTAATAAGTAGTTGTTTTTTATAAAAACAACAACAACAAACGATGTCGTTTGATATTAAAAATGGAATATATAGGTCCAGGTTTTAATATATTATTGCCATATAACGTTACAGTTCCATTTTTGGTATTTAGAATTTTGTACATGTTTTTATTTATCTTTGATCGAAATTATAAAATTATACAGTTTGTCAAAATTGTGCAATAATAACTTTTGACCGTGGTAGTCACACTACGCTAGTTTTAAGGTAATTATTTTATGTTTGTTATTTAAAATTTTAATGTTCATTTATTGTAGATCAGAAAACTTCCCTGAAGATGAAATTCAATGAATTTCGAAATATCGGAAAATAATAAATAAATATAAATATTGACCTCAAGCTCGATCAGCCATCTACAATTTATTGAACATTCGAAAGGTTGAAAAATCATAAACATAATTTGTGTACTACATTTATATATTTCAAAAAACATTGCTTCGATATTTGATTTTTTTGCGCTCCACAAATACCCCTGTAGAATGCGTGATGATGTAAAAGCACAGGGACCTTCGCAGATGTTAGTATATTTAGAAAATGTGTTCACACTTCCCTGTGTGACTTTATCTACTTATTTGTGAGTGTCTCATCATACAACCGCACAAAAACATTACAACTGACGAATCAAACAGCAACATTATATACTTCGTAATTAGTGGAAAAAAATAATGCTCATTTTAACGTCATTATAAAACTTAAAAAGGGCGAAATATTAAAAAAAATGACTACGAGAAAAATTATTCTGAAATGACTTTAAATCATGTTGGCTGGTCACAACTTTTGCATAATTCATGCAGAAGCGTACAAAACTTTTATATTCCTTTTGCGTAAGTAATGTTTGTCTGAGTTTTTTTTTTGTTCACGGCACTCAATGAGGTTTCTCATTACAAAACAATGTGTAAAACAATACTTATTTGTTAAATATTTTAACAACCCTCGCGTTTTAACCCAGTCAACCAGCAATTGACATTAACTCAGCCCTTTTCATTAGCATTAGACCAGCCGGGTTATGTCCAACACCTGAATATAATGGTGTCCTATTAAAGAAAAAATAACGAAAACTAAAAACAAGTGTTGAAATTTCAACACTTGACAGAAGTCACGTTGCAGTCCACATTACTTTGCAACAACTTTTCTTGATTGTTTTTTGTTTTGTTTTAAATAACAAATATACATTGAAATGTTTTTTTTTTTTTGTTAGCCCCAATGAAACCATCAATCTTTGGGGGTTTCTTGTTGCCCTAATTGTTTTTCTATCTAAAATTTTCTATGTCATGTTCTTATGCAAAATGTAGAATATCTGGAATTTTATATTGCCAATTGAGATACGATTCGAAAATCAAGGTTGCCTAAATTTAGATTTGTTCATATGTATTGCAACAATACACACATACATACATAGGTAAACATGTTTGTCTTGTCTTCTAGATAACATCTTGTATGTCGAATTACTATTTTGAAATCTATTGAAATTCTTATATCGCCAACGCATTTGTTCTTGGAATAGCTAAAAATTTTGAAAGTGGTAATTTTAGAAGCAATTTTATTTGGATAAAGTTCAAAGTTTCACTTAATATGTTACTGCAGGACACGTGTCATTAAAATATTTGCAGAAATGACATTGGATCGCTACCTAACAAATACTTATATACAACGAAAAAATCGTAAAAAACCGATTTGCGATTAAAAAAATTAAAACTATAAAATATTTGAGTTTTTAATTTTTATGCTTTTATAGGGAGAATATTTGTACAGAGAATTTAGTATAGATTCTTCTCCGATGAGAATTATACTTATTTCGTATAAATGGGGCACCAAAAACTCACCGTTTGGTACGACATTTTGAATTGTGTTTTCTTTAAATTGTTTATTTAGAAT